GGCCATTTTTTGGTTGCAGCCATCATTGTTGTTTGGTGGGCCCGGGCTGGGGCTTCGAACCCGCCACCTTAGGTGTATGTGGCTGGCGCCTTAGCGGCTTGAGCCACAGGCGCCAAGCCGATTGGTTAATTTATTGAAAAAATTTTATTTTCTGATGTCTGGAAAAGTTTAAAATAGGGCATCTGCATCTGGTGAGGACCTCAGGCTGCTCCCACTTCTTCAAGAAAGTAAAGGGAAATGAGTGTGTGCAGAGGTCACATGGAGTGAGGATAGCAAGACGGGGGAGATGCTAGGCTCTTTTTAACAGTCAGCTCTTCCAAGAACTATGGAGTGAAAATTTGCTCCCCTTCCCTTCTGGGGAGGGCATTAATCTATTCATGAAAGCCTTGTCCCCAGCAACCTAAACACCTGGCATCAGTCCCCACATCTAGCATTTGGAAAAAAATTTTCACAAAAAGTTTGGAGGGATCAAACATCCAAAGTATAGCTGTCTTAGGGCACTTCAGCCCCCAAAGGTAAAAGGGAGAGTTTTTCTTTGAAAATTTGCACTATAAATCTTCTTCTATGCCTTTCTCCTCTCCTCCTCCTGCAGGTCCTACCCATAGCTCAGTCTTTTCCACAAGGAAAAGGATTCTGGGGCGTAATTGACAAAGCCAGGTAGCATTGGCATCCACAATTTACAGAGTGCAGGTTGAAGTGGATTCATAAACCTTGGCTATAAGACTACTGCTGGCATAGATAGTAAAGCAGTTTTCAGGAGCTCTTACCAGTAGGAGTAAGGACACACTGAATAGGTCTAGTTGAGATGTTGCCTTGTTCCTTCCTGTCATCTCAGAACAGGAAGACTATTCTTATTTTGGCCTTAGGTTCACTGCCTGCCCCCTTGGCTGCTAGTGAAAAAGGCATATACCTTTTATACTCTCATATCTTTTTTTTTTTGAGACAGAGTCTCATTTTGTCTTCCTCAGTAGAGTGCAATGGCAGTACAGCTCACAGCAACCTCAAACTCTTGGGCTCAAGCGATCCTCTTGCCTTAATTTCATTTTAAGTAGAGGCAGGATCTCACTCTTTCTCAGGCTGATCTTGAACTTGTGAGCTGAAGTGATCTATACACCTCGGCCTCCTATTACAAGTATGTGCCACCAGGCCCATCCTCTACAGCCAGGTTCTTTTTTTTTTTTTTTTGAGACAGAGCCTCAA